AGGGCACAGTCTGGGGAGACTACTCCCACGGACGCCTTCCCAGGAAGAGTGTCAGACTGACCTTTGGCCAGCATACCAGACACACTGATCCTTCCACAATTCAAAATTGATCGACCCTGGGGACCCCTGTTGCTGACCAACCCCCCCCCATTTGAATCCCCTTACCTCACTCTGCTGGTAAGATGGATCTGCTCTAGGGCCTGCCTGGGCTCAAGGAGAGGCCCTCTGTGAAGTCTCACAAGGGGCCGCCAGCAGAGGGCTGACCCCAGCAATCACCTTGCAGGGGAGTGAGGGATACAGGAAACTATCAATCCGTATTAGAATAATATATTCAAAAGTATTCACTTTCCGCAATAGAATAAAAATCTGAAAGAGAGAATTTTAATTTTACTCATCACTTCAGAAGAAACAATTTACAAACAGTTGTACAAACATTTCCATTCTTCTTTGTGGGAGGGAAAAAGATTCACACCTGGAGGAAGAGCTGTCCAAAGACAACCCCAACAATGATCCCTGACATCTGGGCAGGCAGCCCACCCAAAGCTCAGGGGCTGGTGAATCAGTCCTGAGCCCTGGTCAGTTTCAGGGAGGAGGGTGGGGGTCCTGTGACCCAGGCCATTCCCTAATTAAGGGCACAGTCTGGGGAGACTACTCCCACGGACACCTTCCCAGGAAGAGTGTCAGACTGACCTTTGGCCAGCATACCAGACACACTGATCCTTCCACAATTCAAAATTGATCGACCCTGGGGACCCCTGTTGCTGACCAACCCCCCCCATTTGAATCCCCTTACCTCACTCTGCTGGTAAGATGGAACTGCTCCAGGGCCTGCCTGGGCTCAAGGAGAGGCCCTCTGTGAAGTCTCACAAGGGGCCGCCAGCAGAGGGCTGACCCCAGCAATCACCTTGCAGGGGAGTGAGGGATACAGGAAACTATCAATCCGTATAAGAATAATATATTCAAAAGTATTCACTTTCCGCAATAGAATAAAAACCTGAAAGACAGAATTTTAATTTTACTCATCACTGCAGAAGAAACAATTTACAAACAGTTCTACAAACATTTCCATTCTTCTTTGTGGGAGGGGAAAAGATTCACACCTGGAAAAAAACCCAAAATACTGCTCGAATGGCCTTTGTACAGAGCTGTAATAGTCACCAAACCACTTCCAGTGACAAGGTGGTAGTGGGCTATGCCCACCCCCCACCCCAGGTTAGATGTCAGAATAGGAAGAACAAGGGGGCAACCAGGCTAGATGGCTCAGTGGACAGAGCTGGGCCTGGGCTCATGATGACTCATCTCCCTGAGTTCAAATCCAACCTCAGAGACACCTGTTTGCCTCAGTTTCCTCATCTGTAAGATGTAGAAGGGAATGGCAAACTACTTTCCACCCAGTATCTCTGCCAAGAAGACCCCCAAAAAGCTCAGGAATACTGCACTGGTCACCACTGAACTCCAAACAAAAGAACTGATGAGGAAGAGCTGTCCAAAGACAACCCCAACAATGATCCCTGACATCTGGGCAGGCAGCCCACCCAAAGCCCAGGGGCTGGTGAATCAGTCCTGAGCCCTGGTCAGTTTCAGGGAGGAGGGTGGGGGGCCTGTGACCCAGCCCCTTCGGGGGTACTTCCCCCAGTGACAACTTCCAGGTAGAGTGTCAGAGCGACCCTTGGCCAGCGCACCACACACAGAGACCGTCCCGCAATTCCAAAAGGAATGACGCTGTGGCCCCCCTGCTGCTGACCACACCCACATTTTACCCTGCCTACCTCGCTCTGCTGTCGGGCAGAAATGGCAGGGGCGGGACCCTGGACCGGGCTTAAGGAGGGGACCTGGGACGTCACACAAGGGGGCTCCCACACGCCAGAATGGGGGGCCCACCTCATGATCACAATGGGGGGTGGGAATACCGCAAACTGTAAGTCCCTGTGTCCTTTCAATAACAATAATATATCCCAAAGTATTCACTTTCTGCACTAGAATAAAAACCTGAAAACCAGAATTTTCATTTTGGCCACCACTTCACAAGAAACAATTTACAAACAGTTCTACAAAAAGTTCTCTTCTTCCTTGTGAAAAACAAACCAAAACAAAACAAAAGCCTTCACACTGCCTTTTTACAGAGCTGTACAGATAACAGTTATCACAGTGATCCAGCTTGCCTTCTGGGCATCAGTGGCTGGGGGAGCCTCTGGGCTGAAGCCCCTGCCCTGATGCTGGCGTGGTGACCCAGCTGGCCAGCCACCCCAGGAAGCTTGTCCTGGGTCAGCTTCAGGAGGCCACCTCTCGAGGACCCGGGGTGCCCTCAGCCCTACCAGGAAGGCCTCTCCTCTGGCCTTTCTTGATCCACAGTTATGGACAGCAAAGGAGAGATGGGAGCTGACGGGGAGGCCAGAGGGTGTTTTTCAAATGCCCAAGATAAAACCCAAAGGATTTCAAAGGAAAGCAATTTATGTCGAAATCAACATGCAGGGTTTTTTTCCATCCAAGTCTATAGATCCCTCTGAAATCTGTCCCCAGCCCTTGCACCCCAGCAGGAGCCTCACCTGTGGGAATCCCCACCAAGGCAGGAAAGGAAGGGACCGCTTATCCCTTAGGGAGTGACTTCATATGGGCTCAGGAAGACCCAGGGAGGGCTTCAGGGATGGATAGATGCTGTGTGAGCTTCCAGACTACTGGGCTGTTTGGGAATACACCCACCTTTAGTAATGAAGGCAGTGATCACCAATTCCTGTAGCATTTTGAGGCTGGCAAAATACTTCACATACATATCTCCTCTGGTGCTAACAAAAACCCTGGGAAGGACTATTATCCCCTTTACACATGAGGAAACTGAGTCTCAGAAAGGCTCAGGAAGAAAGTGATTTGCCCAGGGCCACGCTGCTGCCTTCAGTGGGTGGCCGTGAATACTGCAGACATCCTACACCTGTGTGCAGTTTGACCAAAGCCCCAGAGCCTCTGTGATCTGATCACAGCTTTCTAAAGTAAACATCTGTAGGGTTTGTTTACTTGGGACCAAACATCCAGATATTTGGAAGTAAAAGCCAAGGCCCGTCCCAGAGAATTCCCCAGGGTCACCCCAGGTTCATCTCCTGGGAATCTTGGCTGTGGGTAGCCTGCTGCTGCCCCGTCCTCCAGTGAGACAGATGGCCATTCTCAGGGTCTCGGGTTCAAAGGCTGCCTTGATGCCTGACTAAGCTTTTCTTGCCTTCTGGCTGCTTGGCATCATGGTGTAGACATACCCTTCGGCTGCCATTGGAGGCAGTGTTGCAATTGGCCCACAAGGTCTCCTCTCCCATTCGGAGTGTCTGCCACAGCCTGGGCATGGTACTAATGTCCTGTGACAGATACCAAGCATTGTTAGGGGGCAAAAAAGGTAGCCCTTCCCAGGCCCCTGGGAAGGCAGCACCTCCCCTCAGCCAGGCCCTTGCCCTCCACAGTCTCCAGAGCTGTGGACAAAGGAAAAGGGAAATATCACCAACATCTTGGGTCCAGCCGCATGCCTCTCCTCCCCTGGTCCTGCCCTCCCTCTGGCTCCCAGGTGCCTGCAGGTCCTCTCAGAGCATGGGGGCAGGAGGGAGGGAAGGAGGGGGGGGCTTCTGGGAAGAGCTGCCCCTGGGGATGGAGGCTAGCTATAGGCCTCTGGGTCAAAGGCTGGAGCTGAATCTGCTATCCCAGCCACCTCCCCCTGCTTCCAGAGCCCATGTGCCCCCCCTGGGGCATTTCCAAGTCCAGATTGCAAAGCTCTCATCCTAGAAGTCTTCACTGCTTCACCCAGTGGCTCGCTGAGGCGTCCCTGCTTAGGCACAAGCTGACCTCGATGGACTTGGAAAGGCCTGCCAAGTTCAAACCATTGGACCAACAAGAGAAATCTTTCTGAGTATTCATGTGTTGGCCTTTCCCACTTCCTTCAGGCCTCATAAGCTGCCTCCTGCATTTCAAGCCAATCCTCACTGAGCATATACTATGTGAAACGCCTTGGGCTCTGGGCAACAAGGGGCTGCCCTCATGGAGTTTAAAGTCCAAGGGGAGACTTGCATGAATTTGTTCACCTGTCAGTAGAATTAGAAGTGGAATGTAATAGGGACAAAGAAGAGATCCAAAATTTTGTCCACCCAGAAACCACACCTTGTAGAGTTGGGGGCGAGAGGTTTTCACTGGCTCAGGGTTAATTTGGAGGAAAAACCATCTATCTTAGATCTCCTGAATCTTCCAGTATCCTGTGGCTCCCAGGGAATGCATCATTTTCTGGACTTGATGAGTACAGAGCCATCCCTGATTCAGGCCACCCTGGCCCAGCACCTAGAAATGGAGAAGCGTCTTTAGGGAGATGGCTGGGTGGGGCCCAGCCCACTTGAATGGGTCTTCCAATGCGGCTGCAGGCTGCTCCTGGAGGCAGCAGGGCAGACACCAGCTCGATGTGGCTTTGGGGGCACCCTTCTGCTGACACCCCCTTTCTTTCCTTCCAGATGACCACTCCAGGGTGATTCTCAGCCAAGTGGATGGAATTCCATGCTCAGACTACATCAATGCTTCGTACACAGACGTAAGCCAAGGGTTTTCTCCTCAACCAATGCTACTCAAATACCTGCTTTTAGGTAAACCATGACTGGCAGTGTGCCTTAGTGGGTAGAGACTTAGCTTCAGAGTCAGGAAGACACCTGGGTTCACATGGTTCCTCCCGGGTCAAGTGCTTTAGTCTCTCAGTGGCCCCAAGCAGGTCTCTGGGATAACAATAAACAGCAGGGAAGATTGGGGCCTGCTCTGGGAGAGGGGGTTGTTTTCACCAGGGAGCTCTGTAGACTCAGGAAGTCATGAGGCGGGGTCAATCTCGAGCCCTTCCTGACTGTCACTGAAACCACTGCAGAGAATCACAAATACCATCTTCCTTCTGCAGGGTTACAAAGAGAAGAATAAATTCATGGCTGCTCAAGGTAAAGTGTTTTACCCAGCTCATTTCTGCCCCTTTGCTTCCTTCTCATTTGTGTGGGAGATGATTGGAGGCAGCAGCAGGGCTGAGGTTTGTGTTAACCTATCCTCCACGGCAGCCTGGGCCACCCTCTGCACAGGTGGGTTCAGCATGTGTAGCCAGCACCCCTTCCTCATGCTAGAACCCTTTCTCCCTGACCTCACTCCCAGATAACCAAGGCTCTGTCACAGCCAAGACTCGGTCCTCTCCCAGGGTCCATTTGTTTAACTAACCAGCAGAGGGCTTCAGTCAATGAATGGACTGAAATCCATGAACACAGTGCCCACCATATAGTCATGGCTTAATAAATGCTAGTAAGCCCCGCCTGACCCGACACGTTGGGTCCGTGTTGTCCAGCTTGGCAGAAGAGAGCTCTCTCCCTGTGCTCCTCAGAGCTGGTGGTGAGCACCCATCTGGTGGACGGCCTCAGGCTGCCTGGGGGCCAGGTCCTGCAGACTGCCTTTCGACTGTGGCCCTCTCTCTCATCTGCAGGCCCCAAACAGGAGATGGCCAGGGACTTCTGGAGGATGGTCTGGGAGCAGAAGTCAGAGACCATTGTCATGCTGACCAACTTGAAAGAAAGAAAAAAGGTAAGGGGACGTCTTATGAAGGGCCACCCCTGCGGCCTTGGGATGCCTACTGTAACCACTTCCTTTTCCTACCTTCCTCCTCCCCACCGCAGCGGCCCAGGGTTCAGGGGCTTGCAGCATTCTCATCTCAAAGTCAAACCTGTGATGACTAAGGCAGATCGTTTATTTTCTGTCTTATTCTGTGGACCCCTCTTGCAATGTCTCATCTGACTTGAGTGGTTTTTTCCAACTGGAGTCACCCAGTAAGTGGGAGCCATGCAAAGTGCTAACTCTGAAGAATATGGGCAAGAGGTGGGCTTGGTGACGGAGGCGGGGAAAGGGCCCTGGTGGCAAGAGTGAGAAGGACGAAGCTCTTTTGCAACCAGACTCAAGAGGCGTGCTGATAAAGGGCAGAGAGAGGGCTCCCATACACTTGAAAAGAAAGTCTTCACCTGCAGCCCAGGTCTTGGGCTCAGAGACTCCACAGAAATGACCCTCACAAAGAGGGGGACAGTGTCAGAGGAAAGGAGGGGTGTGGTCAGGAGATGCTGTACAGGGGGAAAGAGGCAGGTGAGGGGTCCCAGCATCCCATGACTTTGGGCCAGAAGGACCTGGGTGTGAGGACTTAAGGCCCTCATTTTATAGGGAAGGAAACTGAGGCCCAGAAAGGAAAGGGGGCTGGCCTGCAGTCACCCAGGGAGTAGAAGAGCCAGATTCCAAAGCCAGGTCTTCTGACATTAGCCCCAGGGCTCTGTTTCATGTTGAGCCGCTGACCTCTGCCTGGCTTCTTTTAGGGGAGACATCAGTCAGTCAGGTAGCATTTATGATTAAGCACCTACTATGGGTTAACCCAGAGGATACAAAGAAAGTCAAAAAATAAACAGTCCCTGCCCTGAAGGAAGGAAACAAAAGAACATTGATTAAGCTCTTACTCTGGGCTAGGCTAAGCTTTTACAAATGTTATCTCAGCTGATCCTTACCACAATCCTGCACAATAAGTGCTATTTATTATGAAGCCCATTTTAGGATTGAGGAAACTGAGGCAGACAGAGGTTAGCTGACTTGCCCTGGGTCACAGAGCTAGGGGGTGTCTGAGGCTGGATTTGAACTCATGTCTTTCTGACCCCAGGCCCAGCACTTTGTGTGTGCTATGGGCACTCCCAAAGCCTCTGGCATATAGCCTCATGGGGAGAGAACATTCAGACACCTGTGTGCAAAGAAGAGAGAGACAGTGAATTGGAGATGGGTGAGACAGGGAAGGCCCCAAGATGGAGGAGGACTGGGAAGGCAAGGCAGAAGGTGGGCTTCTGTGGTTTCCTTCCTTGGTGCCAAGGCCCAGTGACCCTGAGCCTAAGACAAACTTTCTTGAAGGTGGCTTTTTAATTCCCTCCTGCATTGAGCAATGCAGAGGCTGGCCCAAGGGTGTCAGGGCCCATTCCTTCTCAGATGCACCGCCAGCTCTTGACGACCCCAGCCCCCCACCGATTTCGGCTTCCAATTCTAAAGGATTCTTCCACTCTATCCTCGGCTTTATTTTCCAGGCTTGGAAGCTGCTTTTCAATGATCTTTTTTAGACTAGGTATCCGATGAATGTCTTGAGGTTGTTTGTTTCTGTTTCTAGTTAAACATGAAATTCCTGCAGGTAGCAATAAACTTTTAAAAATATCCGGGCAAATACCCATGCATTTGTCATTGTTTTCTATGTTCGTGCATGTTAATACAGGATAAGATCCTTTCAGTCATGTATCCTTTTTAATTTTACCACTAGATTTTAATCCAGACTTATGGACTTTTGCAGGCTTTGGCTCTTCCAGCTTTGTTTCGGGTGCCACCCTGGCAGCATGGAGTAATCTAATGCCCCTACTTCTAGATGGTGACGACCCGTGACATGGACTCTCACTGCCTTTCTTCTCCAGGAGACTCTTCCCTAGATACTACATATATATACACTCTCTTGAGTTTCTGTTTCCTTTTTATGTGATCTTGATGACATCAACTTCTCCGGGAAGCTCTTGTGCAGTTTCTTTGTTTCCTTGGACAATGTGTCTACTCTATTTTTGCCTCTAGTTTTCGAAGTCATCATCCCTATATTGGGACTTGCATCTTTAAGTTTCTTCTCCTCATTCTCTGTCTTACATAGTTCAGTTGGTAAACCTAATTGGGCTCTTGTGATTCCTTAGCAGACTTAATTATGTTGCTAGATGTTAAAGATGCCATCTTTCATGAACTGTGAAACTCTTAGGTGGTGTCTTTTCCTTACTCTCTATGCATATCTTCTTTTTCAAATTTAACTTGCTTCTCTTTCTAAAAGCCAGTCCATCTTCAGTCACAATGGTCTTCCCCTGCAAATTTTTGATACTTTTTTGTTCATTTTCTGTGTGTAACTCATTGATTTCACTCAAACTCAAATTCACTTCCTGCATAGGTTTATTTCTGCTTCTAGGGTGCAGTACTGCCTTTTGACCCTTTAACATCCCTGGAAAATTCTTTTTTTTTAACCCCATTTCTTATTTATTTACCAGTAGCATGGGAAAACATTTTTTAATAGATATATTTTTAAAACTTTAGGTTTCAAATGTTCTCTCTTTCTCCCTCCCCACCCACCCTCATTGAAAAGGCAAAGCAACTCAATATAAGTTATACATGTGCATTTATGCAAAAGACGTCCATAGTAGACATGTTGTGAAAAACTAACTCTATTTCCCTTAATCCTATCCTGCCCTCCCATTTATTCTATTCTTTCTTTTGACCCTGTCTCTCCTCAGAAGTATTTACTTCTGATTAACCCCTTTCCCAATCTGCCCTCCTCTCTAGCATCCCCCTGCTCTCTTGTATTCCCTCCTTAAGCCAAATCCTATGAGAATAAGATTCACTCCTTCCCTCTCACCTTCCCCTGCTTCCCCTTTCATTGTAAAAGACTTTTCTGTTTTTTGGGGGGGGTTGTGAGATAATTTACCCCACTCTACCTCTCCCTTTCTTATTCTCTGAGTATAATCCTCTCTCATCCCTTAATTTTATTCTCCAGATATGACCCCTTAATCTTCAGCTCACCCTGTGCCCTCTATCTATCTATCTACATACACATACAAATAATTTTTTCCTCCAACTACCCTGATACTGACAAAGGTCTCATGAGTTATAAATATCATCTTTCCATGCAGGAATGTAAATAGTTCAATCTTAATAAGTCATACTCAGGAAGAAGATCAAATGAAATAATATTGTGAGGTTCTTGGCACAGTGTCTGGCACATAGAAGGCTCTGGATAAATGCTTATTTTCTTCTTTCTTTCTGGTAACTCTTTCAAAAACAGCAAACAGAACTAGTCCGGGAGATATTTTGCTCTATTATGTTGGTTCCCTAGATCTCCTCACTGATGATAAGTAGTGATGACAACAGTAAAAACTGTTTCCTTTCATAGAGTATTTTGAAAGCATTGCACTTTTCAAAGTGGTTTTGCATTTATTATGTTATTAGACCATTAGAGCAATGCTGTGAAGAAGGTAGTTCGAGTATTCTTATTCCCTTTTTACAGATTAGGAAAAGTGTGATACAAAGAACTAAGTAATTTGTTTAAGGCAGAAAAGACAGATCCTGGACTCAAGACTCCTGGCTCCCAGCCCAGTGAATTTTGCTACTTACTTTGCTCTGGGTCTCTGAGTCTTCATCCCTAAAATTAGAGGATTAGATTAGATGTTCTCTAAGATCTTTTCCAGCTCTAAAAATGAAGACTCTACCAATGCTTTATGGAAAGACCATGGTCTTGTAGCCTCAAAGAAGAGACTATGACCATATTTATATAGAGAAGAAAAGATAGCCTTCTTCTTTAACCTTAAAAATAGCAGTAGAATGACTGTGAAATCACTCGCTTTGAAATTCAGGGATTTCAAGTATTTATTGGCATGTTTAGGACACTTATGAAGCTATTAAGAACTTGGAAAATGAAGACATTTTTCTCTTAGAGCAACAGAAAGATGGGCAGAAGAGCTGGGAAGAATGTCCACCTGATTTGCTTCACAAGGAAGAGCAAACGACTACAAGAGACCAATCCCCATTCACCCGGAACTTGCAAACTAAAAGTTCCCAGCCCCAGTACTAGAGTTTCATCAATCAACTTACTAGTTTTCTGAGCAACACCCTTAACACCGTACCAAATACAGAGGAAGCTGTGATGGAAAGGATACAAGAAATCAGTACTAATGATTTGGATAGATGTGAGTATGTTGGCAGAAAAGTTGTCACTTAAGAATTTTCTGCTCATATGGTTTACGTTCCTAATACAGAAAATGCTTGTGCCTCATTTCAAATTAAAAATCCGTTTCCATTGTTGAGATTTTGCAACAGTAAGGCAAGAGAAGGTGTACAAAATCTATGAAGTTAATTGTTCCATTTCTCATAGCAAAATATTTCCAGTTGTTAAAATCCAATAATGCTGCTTATATCACTTCAGAAGGAGATCTCCCAAACTCACTTGGAAGTATATCTAGTGAATATGTGATGGTTGTCAAACTCTTTCCCCCCCCTAGAACTGATATAAAACCAAAAAGGTAGCAATAAGGCTCATTTAAAAAGCGCAATCACTTGTTCAATTTCTGCAGAACAGTTTAACCAACAGCCTCATATAGAAAATTCATAATCCTGAAATCAGTGTAGTGAAAACTGTCTCTTCATCTCTTTGTCGACCTCCAGTTCACACAAATATTGATGTTTATCTTGGATTGAATATGTTTTGCAGAGGCCTTCCATAGAAGTCTTGTTTTTGCCTAGTAGTCTAGCTTTTTCTCGTTGGGCAAGTTTCTCTAGTGTCCTGAAAATTTAGTAGACTGTTACATTATTAAGTTTAAGCGGAAGTGTTTTATTTTCATATATGAGCCTCCCTTCTCTCCTCTCCATTTCAGCTGATGATATACACTGCAGATTTCCTGGGGGAAAAGTTCCCAGCATAATGAAATCCATATTTTGACTATAATACTTGGATTCACATGTTTGCTTGGAAAGGAAAGAGCAAACATGGGATATAGGGACAAATCTCACTTTTGTAGTTTCCTTGCAGAGAACTGATGTCCTTCAGTAAGAGATCCAGTTGCTAACTCATCAGGTGGAGCAGCTGCATCAGCTTTATCAAGAGGCTGTGTGTGACTCATCCCAACTGAAGAAAATCTTCTGGAGCAGAAGAAGTCCACGAAGCTTTCAGAAGGGAAAATTACCATTGATGACTTCTTTCAAGGGAGATGGGATTTAGACAAGTAGAAAGCAAGGCTCCAATTAAGTCTATGGCAAAGAAAAATTAAGATTTTAAAATTATAGCAATGGCCTCAATTTTAACCAATGTGCAATCTAAGAATGATTATCCAATGGGGAGAATCCAGATGTAATAACAACTAGATGGTTGAAGTATTTTTAAGCTGAGAGCATTACTGGTGAAGCGATGGCTTGGCCAATGAGAGCCCATCACTAGGAGCATGCACAATACACTCTGGCTGATGTGTTTTCCTTCATGGATGTTTGGTGAGCCAGTTTCTGGGCATGCTCTGAAGAGGAAAGTAATGGCCAGTATTACTATTTTACTCTCGATGACTATTATCATTAAATTATTACTATAATCCCTATTACTCTCTAATACTTTATTACTCTTGTTATGAGAGGCCAAGCACACTGCACATGGTCCCTAAGGACTGGGCTCCCATTGGCCAGTCACATTACACTGGTACTGTTCTCCATGAGCTCAGAATCCAACTGGGAACACAGCATGCACATAACTAACATGGAGCCACTTTCAACAAAATAAAAAAAGTACAGATCACCTACTACATGTTGTTGTTCATGTCGTTCATGACAGGCAGCACTCAGGAGGAGATCTACATCTGGTACCTAGCTCCATCCACTGGTTTTTGGGTGACCTTGAATAAACAGCTTCAACTCTTAGGGTTTGGTTAGTCATCTATACAGTGAGGATGGTAAGACCTAACCACTGGGATCGTAGTGAGGCTCAAACGAGTCAATGGATCTTAAATGCTTTGTGAACCTCTGAGTGCCAGAACGTATTAAATATCATCATTTTATAATAGGTTAACTCTTCATGCAAAATAAGCAGCCATACTTATCATTGGCTCCAGGACAATATTTTAATCTTGAATATCATTCCAAAGCAGAATGAGTCATGAGTTGTGTAGATGAAAGTTGCAAGCAGAAGAACCCAATGGAAATATTCAAAGGCAGACTTTTAATAATTGTCTTGCATTCCCTTACTGTTTCTGGAAAGCAGAATCGGTCTGCTTTTCAATTAGGCCAATTCTGGGAATTAGTCTGAAGGCAATTTTATTTCCCAAATGGTCTTCAAATACTTTACATTTAGGAAAGCTGCCACCGGTTGTGACAAGAGCTGTAATGATGAGTTTTTGCTGTGAGAGAAGTATTGCAAAAGCACCCTGAGATATTACTGGAGAGGTTGCCATGAGATTAAGGAGTGAACAAGGAAAAGCTCAGGGGGAAGGGCGCCTGCATTTGGTGAAAGATGAATAGTTAGGACCTGAGTTCAAATCCAGCCTCTGACCAAACACTTGACACTTACTAGCTGTGTGACCCTGGGCAAGTCACTTAATCCCAATTGCCTAAAAACAAAAAAAGATGAACAGTTAATTAATTATGCTGGCTAATTGAGTGCTACACTCAGGTGTTTCCATGCTTCTGAAGGATTGGAAGGGCTTAATAGGAGAGAGGTAGGAATAAGCATTTATTAAGCACCTACCATGTGCTAAGCATTGTACTAAGCACTGTTTCCAAATATTATCTAATCTGGTTTTTACATTTTGCAGTTGAGGAAACTCAGGCAAACATAGGTTACAGTGACTTACCCAGAATCCCTCGGTAAGTGTCTGACCTAGATTTGAACTGAGGTCTTCCTGACTTCAGGCCCAGTGCTCTATC